GAAAAGGAAATTAAACATAAAACAACAAATTATTTGCGCTGATATTGTTCTTAAATCAAATTTTTCAGTAGTTTCAGTTTTTGCTCAGGCAAACGGACTGCTTCAGGTGTTGGAGACGACGTGCGCAGTTGGGGTCCGCCATTTACTCCTGGAGGCGAAAGTTGTTATCATGCAGTGGTTAACAGAAATAAGAAGAGTGTCGCTATTGATCTGAAGCATGATGCTGGACAGCGTCTGGTACTGCTTATATATTATTTTGTCGTTTCACATGCAAAAGTCTTAGTAATTTTGCAAATTTCTAAACTTTGGAAATTTTTATTTTTGCCAAATATTTCAACCTACTGCACTTAACAGCGAGCGCTTGGTTCCAGGAAAGTAAGTTTCGCATCGGTCTTCCGTGCAGAAAAATAAAACTGCTAAAATTAGTTTTGCACAAGCCATTTAAATAATTTTCAGAACAGTTGATTCTTTCCGTTTTCAAACAATTTTTGCATCCATTTTTCTTTAAAAAAAAACAGTTTACAAAGTTAAGATCAAAAAAAGTCGTGGCGAAAATTCAAATTTTTGACTAGCTCTCTCTCACTCTTTCCTATCTCTTCAAAATTGATGTAACATAAGCGAGTGGAATTGGAGAGCCTAGAACCTAGACAGCCAGAACAGTCGACTGATTTATGCAATACCAGTGCAGAATTACGAATTTTAATTTAAAGTTGTAGGCTATCAGCAGCAATGTAAGGGGGGTGTTTGCAGCAAATTAGTTGCTAGCCGTGAATGTGGGACCAGGAGATTGATAGAGGAAGGCATGAGATCGTTAGCGGGTCGAGATTTATAGTAGTCGAGTGAGGTATGTGAATGAAGGAGAGCGAAGCAACAGTCTTATTTAGATTGTTTGAAAAATCCTGGATTGACATTTAAGCGTCACATACGCATAAGCCTGTATTTGGTATAAGTCAGCTATCTATCCGTGTTTCACCCTTAAGCTGTAAATAGACGGCGAGGAACGGTGCAGTAAACCATTAATGCAGTATCCCCTATCCCGCCATCTGAATATGATTATGTAGAAAGGAGTTGAAGCAGGTTGGGACAACAGCAACCTTGATCGTTACGTGCTGAAAAGAACTATATTTATGTAAGTTAAATGGAATTAACAGAAGCGGAATCAGAAAGCGCTTCCGTAGTTATTTCATAAAGCAATAAACCATTCAGCCTTTTAATCATTTCTAAAATTAACCTTAAAAACTAACATCTTGTAAAAGAAGATTTGTTTAAGGCAAAACGACTAGCATCCAAATGCGATGTGTTGATTGAAAATTTCAAGCCAGGAACAATGAAAAGGTTTGGTCTGGACTATGACACACTGGCTCAACAGAATGAAAAATTGATTTACTGCTCCATTACAGGTAAGTACGATCCCAGCTAGTGGATATGATCATGCTTACTTA